AATGCGGAAAAATAAAATTCACAGTTTCTGGTAGGTCATTACGATTATAAACTTGTCCTAAAGATTTGTCTGGATGGTAGTGCGGTCTAGGAATGAGGTACTGAGATAATAGGAAAGTACCAAATATCCTGTATTGAATGTTTAAAATCTGGTCCGGATTCGGGAGTTCGAAGACTTTCAAAAATGTTGTAGGTCAATTGGTCGGAAATAATCTAGACACAGGAATGTTGCAATACGTTTATGTAGTCACTGAAGTTTAATTTTTTGATGCTGCTGTTCATATGCTTGCATTCTTCTCGACTTGCACTGTCATTTTTGTTGCCACGCATTGTTTTCTGGGACTTGCTAACGTTACTGGGACTCATTATAGGTCTAGAGTTTGAAGGGGCTGAAGTGATGAGAAATCTGGAAATACAGCAGTATTGATTTTTAAAGTACAGCATTTGTTGCGTGGGGAAAACTACGTTTACTCTTCAGCACTACGAAGAACGAAAATTTATCAAGCTTTCATCATCTATTAAATGCGCCAAGCATGAATTTGCTTCTAAACGCATCATCCGCCGAAATACAGTATTGGATTCGCACACCGGAAGCGCTGTGTATAGGCTTTTCTAGCAAATTGCAAAGCAAAGCACAGAAAAATTGGAAACCATTCGAGGGTTTGCTCATAAGTTTTATGACTTTTTGAAATAGATCCTACGGAGTTTCAACAATTCCAAAGCAAACATTTTACCGCGGATTTTAATTCATTTTTAATGCGATAAATCCAACAATTCAAGCAGTGCTGAAAATCTAGTTCCTTAAGTTGATTCAGCTGCTTTTCGAAAATGATGCTGTCCATATCCTCAAAATCAACCCCTTTCAGGTTGCCTTTCTATGTTATGGGAACAGCCAAAAGTAATAGGGTATCTAATCAACCGAGAGAACTCGATTTTCGTCACTGTTTTGATGTTTGGATTTAGCTCATTGAAAAAATGAGTCGAAATCGGCGAGAGTGCCTCGAACAGCACGAAAATGTTGCCAAATGATGGGGCTATGCGAGTTTAAAAAAATTGGAATTATTGAAACTTCGTTGGATCTACTGTATTTAAAAAAGTCTCGAAACCTATGAACCAACCCTCGCACTTCTGTATAAATAAGCGAATAAATTCTCACGACATTCTGAACATCTTCGGCCCATAGTATTGCACTGTCAGCAACACGACGAGCATGTAAAAAGCCATGCCGACGATGAGCGAGAACATGTCTTTCGTGACAATGTTCGACGCACTTCCCACCGGCAATCTCTCAAGCACGTCTTCCGAGGGGTTTTCGGATGACAGAGCCACGGATGCCAGAGTGTCCATGACCATGTTAACCCATAGCATTTGAACTGCTCGGAGTGGACTGTCATTCAGAACGCAGGCCGACGTGAATGAAATGACCAGGGCCACTAGATTCACCGTCAACTGGAACTGAAATGGGAACCTTGAATAAATACCCCGGTTTTTAAATCTACGGTTTTCCTGTATCACCGTACTGATGACGCCAAAAAGTGAAGGGAAGCTTTCAAAATTAAGAAACCACCATATGCGCATTATTCTCTGGTTGCGATGGTTTTTTAGAAATTTTCCAGCTCGGTAAGGTAAAAAGCTGGGTTGAATGAATGAATGAACAGAACACTTTATTTGCTGCTTTTCAGCGTTCACAATGTTCAATCAAGATTCCCACAACCAAACCCCCTTCCCACCCAACCCAAATCCACTCAATGACATTNCAAACCCCCTTCCCACCCAACCCAAATCCACTCAATGACATTTTAATCACTTCAGAGCAGGAAAACACAAATTGATTAAAAAATAAAAATATAAGAAAGAAGCTGGGTTGTAGCATTCAAATGCACTGTACCTGGGTTGCTCAGGTGTTCCTTATTTAAAAAGAGTATTGTATAACCTTATCAAAACAAGAGAAGTCATTGATGGCGAAAATTTACATGTTCTACATCAACACATTTTTCCAATTTCAAACCCTTGAAATGAATCCCTAAAATTTCGATTATTGTTTCGTACATGTGCATCCCTAATCGTAATGCGTATTGATTTTATGATGCGACTTCTCTTATTGAGGAAACTATTCTTTTTCATTTTTTTGTGCGAGTCACTCGTGTGTCCACTCTTTTAAATCAATCATACAGTATTATAGCCATATAACGTATTTTCGTAGCAGGAACCTTGACCTTGACAACAATATTCTGCATATTCATGCTGGTCAATGGCATCACCTTGCAATAGTTGAGCATGAATGAAACCTTGGATGATTGCGTGAAACTATGACTGGTTGAAACAAAGTTCACTTCCATTATTGCATGTCATGCCGTGAATTCAGACTGTGATGCTTCGAATGGGATGTATAGAATTTACTGTGTTCCGATTCCGGCGAATTTTTGCAATGGAGCTGAACATGTAATTTCTCTGTACGGGGTTTTTTCTGGCTTTACCTCCACAGCATATACGAATATTTGCCATTTACCTTATATTGAAGACCATGGAATTCACTGTTCGTTTAAAAAGCAAATCTCAGAGAAAGTTTTAATTAAAAAAAACTGTAAATAAAATCGATGCCTTTCTTGAATTGGTACAGCTTGGGTCTTACGCGCGGGAATCCAAATTGCCATTCTCGGAACAATTGACGACTTGGCAAGTTTGTCACAGTCTTTCAGATTTTGCTACCAATTGAAAATACAGTATCAGCCATTTGAGGTACATAGCCATGTTTTATAGCTCTCATCCTTATGAAATATTTAAAGGAAATATCTTTTCATCTTGGCGGGTTGGCCACCATAAAGAGATTTAATTTCAATACGAAATGACAACGCCCACCGCAACAACAGTAAACTATAATACAGTTCAACCTTGATACTTTTAACCTCCCGAAGTCGAATGCCTCTCACTGTGGAATTCTTCTCGAGTCCGTGTCTGAATTTCCTCAGGAACGATGCCATTCAAGGGCTTTCCCTCTCAAACCTCCATAACTCGAATTATTCTGGGGGGCCTTTTGGCTATATTACTGCATTTCATTGACGCAGGAAAGAGAAAAGCTATAAAAATGTAGCCTGGTGTTTTTTGAAAGGAAGTGAAAGCCGAATATTTCGGCAAATGAATCCTTGACTCAAAATTCGGCATCCTATGTATAGGAAGCAATTAAAGGCCCAGAATATCACTTCTTTCTTTTCTCCCAACAAAAAAAGCTCGTTTTCCATAACTCGAAACCTCCTTAACTCGCTTTTGTTGTTGATCCCTTATCGAGATTCGATTTTAAAGAGGCTCGAGTTGTAATACAGTAAATATTGATAATATTATGGTGACTAAATCAATAGTTAGTTATTCAACCTGGAGAAATTTGCAAATATTGTCGAAAACGGTGCGACCCCACATGACGGCTTTCACGATGCTGGTGAAGTTGTCGTCCATGAGGATGATGTCCGAGGCCTCCTTGGCCACGTCGGTGCCGGTGATGCCCATGGCGAACCCGACATCGGCCATCTTGAGGGCCGGGGCGTCGTTCGTGCCGTCCCCGGTCACTGCGACGACTTCCCGGTTCCTGCTTGCCCCGACAGGCTTGGCCATCCGCATCCCGCGCACCAGGTTGTACTTGTCCTCGGGCAAACACCGGGCGAGCACTCGAAGTTTCGGCCATATTCTGGTGTGTGTGTTGAAAAAAAGGAATATCAAGAGAAAACAATAATCAAGGATTTTACTACATGTTTCATTACAGTGAGTCCCGGAAAAAACGCGTCCCACGAAAAATTCGCGTTGCGAAAATTGTATGATGGTATACAGTATGACTCACACTATGTGTGACTCACACAACTAAATGGTTTCTCTTCACAAAATTTGTTAGCTCAAAAAAGCTTACATTTCAAAAATGTTTCAACAAAAACGGAATTGGGAATTTTTTCAAAAACTGAAGGAAAAAATACTTATACTTTTGTCAATTACTGCCTTTAAAATTTGTGAAACTCAGAAAGGTCAGAGCACCAATTCATCAGGATCACATCCATTATTTTATGCTAAGAAAAAATAAATTTCAAAATTTAAATTTATGCGGAAACTGTAAAAATAATCAATTGTATTGGGTTAAAATAATCAATTGTAATGGGTTAAAATAATCAATTGTAATGGGTTAAAATAATCAATTTTAATGGGTTAAAATAATCAATTTTAATGGGTTATTTTTATGTTTTTTTCAGTGAGTGTCTGGAACAAATTAAATAATTTGAAATGCAACCGTATATAAGGGTTGTCGCGTTATGCATTACAAAAATTCCTCATAACAAAACAGAACTCTAATTTATAGGGCTACCTCACTTTCTGTCGCAAATTTCCCTTGAACAAATCTTCCTCTAGTGTGCGAATAACTTGGGCAAATGTTCACTCTTGTTCAATCAATACCAAGAAATGACCGAATAGAGCCAGCTTCTCTAAGGTCCACTCTTGAAAAATTAATGGTGTGACCATGGAAAGCAAACTACAGTATACTGTACACTGCTATATGGGACGATTGTTTAAATAATTCGTAGTCGGGTTCAAAGTGATCCCAGTCCTTGGCTTTTTATGTAAATCAGACATGCCTTCACCGCATTTATTTTTCCAGAGTTATTGCTTATTTTTATGAATATTTATGGCTTACGATTGTTATATAACGATTGTTTATATTTACGATTGTTTGAAAAATTCGTGGTCGGGTTCCAAGTGATCCCGATCCTTGGCTTTTTATCTAAATCAGACATGCCTTCACCGCATTTATTTTTCAAGAGGGTATTGCTTATTTTTATGAATATTTATGGCTTTTCTGCAGTCTCGATTTGGAATTGCTTTCGGGCCGTTATTTTTCCGCACTAAATCAAATGATGAAAGTGTGAAATCTGGCATTACGAAGAAATCTGTTAAAGCTTAACTTTGACGTTTTAAATTGAAGTTGATCGTTCGAACCGTTGAGGAGATATTGCAGTTCAAGAATCGCTCTTATTTTACCCGTCCGTCCTGCCTTTGATTATTTATATATAAATAAAAAATGACTGTAAAAGCTTATCGGCCTTCAGGTGATGTGAAAGAATTCCTTTGAGCGTCTCGGGAGAAAATGGAAAGTTACGCTGATGCGCTTATCGTGGGTTTCGGGCCTTCCCTTCGGAATACATTTACATAGATAAAGTTTTCTATAGGCCGACACAAATCAACCCCTTGTGCACTTCGGATTATTTTGTAATTGCAAATAAGGAAGGCCTGGGGAAAAAGGTGCAGTGGGGAGGTAAGAAAACTCGTGTCTTTGTACTTGTCCAGCTGAGATTGTATCACTTGGCCCGAGTCTGGATCTTTGATTTTCTTGTTGAATTCCGTTCCTTCCATCGCGAGGACGTCGCTCTCGTCGCTGCTCAAGATTCCGCATTGTCTGAAAGAGAGATGAGGCCAGGGAAAAGTTGGGCATTCTTTGTCATGCGAGATACATGTTTCAGATTTCATGGCCTCGTCGTTTGTCTTTTGTTTCGTCGCGACAGCAGACGAATGGAAAGTACTGTACATACATAACTAACGTCACTTCCATTATTTCAATTGATGATACGAAAATATTTGATCGGAAATTTGGTATATCGGAAATCGGATTTTGCGCTTTATATCGACTAAATGCTTTTATTCTTCGAATGATTCTGATGAGGTAGTTGTGGAGTCACAAAAACCTCAAAATTACCGTCATTTTGCTAAACATCCGTCTTTGAATTGAACTTCATGCGCGTGAACGCGAAAGAAAATGGTTTAATTCGTCTTGGCAGTCGAAATGAAAAAATTTGTTTATTAGCAATTTAGAGACTTATAAATTTTTCTTCAAAAAATTATGCTGTGCAAGAATAGTCTTTTTTTATCCGCGTTACCTTGGTAAAGTGAATATTTTCTGGAGCAATTAGGACGATTCTTCGAATATTCACTCCAAAGCGTCAATCCAATATTTCTGGGGTAAATGACGAAAGACTTGCCTCATTTTTAGGAAACTTGGTCAGCGGTAAACTGACTATTTTCTCAGACTGAATTGAAAATTTTAAAAGATTTACTCCATGCGCCAAAACTTACGCGGTGAAACTTCTGATGATGAACGTATCCCAATACTGAACAGTACTTCACAATCATTGATGGAAATGACACAAGACGGGTCTCATTTTTGGGAACTTGGAAAACTAACTGCAGTATTTCCTTGAACTTGGATGAAATTTTCTCAGATTGTTTTTGCGTCAACTGTATACGTGATGGTGATGTTCTTAGTCGTATGTTAAATATCCCAATACTGTAGTTCACGAGCCAATGTTTTACGGAAATTGTATAAAACCGGTGTCATTTGTGCGGAAATTATCGACAAACTGACCATTTTCTCGAACTGATGCGTCAATTTTTCAAATATGAAATGCGTCGAAACGTATACAGTACTTGAATTTGCTCCTGGCTGTATGTAAGTTATCTTAATACTTCTCGCACATTTTTGCGGAAATTGTAGAAAATCAGTCGCATTTGTGGGGAACTTGGAAAACTGATTAGTTTCTCAGACTGATATGAAAAATGTTTTTGTACAAATGATCGATGCGTCGAACATGCGTTGCGACGTTCCTGTGGGAATTATCTCCAATACTTCACACACACCACACCACTTGTTTTTGCGAGAAATTAAAACGGCATAATTTGCTGTGTACAAGCTGACTGACTTTATTTTTTTGGACCGAAGTGACAAATTTAAGAATATTTCATCTGCCAAACTCACGTGGTGCGATGCTCCGCCTGGCCGGTTGTCAATGACCTTGAATACTTCACGCAAAACTTTTTTTGCGAGAAATTATATAAAACTGGTCTCATTTGCTGTGGGGGGAAAATTAGGCAAACTGACTGACAATCTTCTTGGAGTGATGTGACGAATTTTGAAAAACTGTATTTCATCTGCCAAACTCATATGTGGCGATGCTCCGCCTGGCCATTTGTAAATGATCTTCAATACTTCACGCACCGCTTATTTTTGAGAGAAATTATATAAAACCGGTCTCATTTGCTGTGGGGGAAAATTAGGCAAACTGACCGACGATCTTCTTAGGGTGATGTGACGAATTTTGAAATATTTCATCTGCCAAAACTCATGTGGCGATGCTCCGCCTGGCCATTCGTAAATGATCTTCAATGCTTCACGCACCGCTTATTTTTGCGAGAAATTATTTAAAACCGGTCTCATTTGCTGTGGGGGAAAATTTGGCAAACTGACTGACAATCTTCTTGGAGTGATGTGACAAATTTTGAAATATTTCATCTGCCAAAACTCATGTGCTGGCGATGCTCCGCCTGGCCATTTGTAAATGATCTCCAATACTTTACGCACCGCTTATTTTTTCGAGAAATTACATTAAACCGGTCTCATTTGCTGCTGTGGGGCAACTTGGAAAACTGAAGGAATATTTTCCTGAACTGATGTCAAAAATGATTTTTTAAAAAACATCAATTGTCCAAACTCACGTGGCTATGCTCTTGGCCGTATTCAAATTATCCCCGGTCAGCATGCGCACAGTGATCCCCGCCCGCTGACACGCCGCCACGGCCGCCGGCACTTCCTCCCTCACGGGATCCTCAATCCCGCAAATGGCGATCAAAGTTTGCGACTCCAACGTCGCTGAATCGTCTTCCAAGTCCGCCGTATCCGGCAGGATCTTAAACGACAGGCCTATGGTCCGCAAGGCATTCGCCGCCATCGTGCTGATGATTTTGTTGATGGACGCCAGGGTTTCCGGGCTGATGATCTCCTCGTTGCCGTCGGCGACTAAGACGCGTTCGCAGTGTTTGAGAACGATCTCGGAGGCGCCCTTGGTGTGGATGACGTAGTGGCCGGGTTTGTAGCCCACGAGCTCGGACCGGACCATGGTTGTCATGGATTTCCGGTCAGAGTTGAAAGTGAGGACGTGAGTGAAAGACGTGTCCGGCACTGCGCTTCGGATCGCCTTGTAATCCGCGCTGAATGTTTCAGGTTTGTGTTTTCAATATTCGGTGAAATCAATGGGGAATTTCATCACCCGCATTTACCCAATTACCACGTTTGTTCTTGAATTTTAGAGGAAAGGGGGGGGGGGGGGTGCGCGTCATAGGCGGGATACAATGTAAAAAATTATTTTAGAATAATTTTAGGTGCGCGCCACACGATAATATAATGGGACATTTTTGATGACCTTTTTATTGTAAGAATAAAAAAGTTGAAGATTAATTTAAATCAGATGGAATTCATGTTCAGATTTGAGTTTTGGTATCTGTTATTTTGAAATATGGTAGATTTTCAGTCTCTCATAAAGGGGGTTGCGTCTTAAATCTGGGGGTTCGCGTCCTGAAAAAATTGGGGTGCGTGTCTTACTCAAGGGCGCGTGGTGCTCGATGTGTGAATACGGTATATACAGTTGAACCTCGGCAACTCAAACTTCCTCAAGTCAAATTATTCCCCATGTCGAAATTTTTCAACAAGTGTGATTGTTTGAATTCCCTTGGAAACAATACATTAAAAAATCTCTCCAAGTTGAAGGATTTCCTCCTCAAACCTCCGTGACTCGAATTCTTCGGAGTCCTTTTGGCTATTACTGTATTTTGTTGACACAGGAAAGAGAAAAGCGATAAAATGAGAAACTTGATGTGTTTTGAAACGTAGCGAAAGACTAATTGAGCAAATAAACCTTCGCCTTCCACTTCAGCATCCTTTCCACTCATTTAAAAAGAAATGAAACGCATAAAATACAGTACTAAAAATTACAATTTCGTCCTACTATTCTTTCCGTCCTAGAAAAAATTCCTGCTTTTTTAACTCGAGTGACATGCTCAGGAAGCAATGATCATCTATTCGGGGTTTGCATTTTTTAATAAATGGTGTATTACAGTATTTAATTTACTCTCTATAGTCTTGAAACCCGTTAAATTGTTTGTGGTGATGTCAGGATTTTTCAAATTTCTCTCGTTTTCCGACCTCTCTTTTGACAGAAATTGCACAATGCCGGTTTTCAACTGCAGTCCTCTAAATATTCCGGGTTTGTGGGTTGAATATAGAGCGCGAATCACCCAGATACAGAAATTTAGCGAAAATTAAGAGCCTCTTTGAGTCTGTTGACTGATGTTGTTAAGCTGAGAATTTTTGACATTTTCTTCGCCAAAAATAAGTATTCTTCGCCTCACCCGAGTTCCTTGGCGAGGCCGAGAAGAGCACATTCAGTCATATTTCCCATGAAACTCGGGGGCCCACCGGGTATTTCGCTGGGCACGATCATCGATGTGTAAGACGAGTTCAAAGCGATGCTATCCACGAGAAGCTTTCTAACACTCTTGGAAATCTTATTGGAAACCTTCCCTTTGATCGGAGCAATGAAGTTCGATTCCACGTAGATGGCCACTACTTCCATTCGATTTGTTGTCAACGTGCCTGTCTGGGAGACATTCGGGAGATATTATACCTGCTTGTCCACTTGATTAGTAGAATTTCTGATGAAAGTGCATACAGTATTTTGAATTTCGTTCAACCTCGCGCTTCTTTCTCTCGACCATTCCAATCGAGGAAAAACAAGTTTTTGAAGTTTCGCTGGTCGACAAGTTTTTGGTTTCGAATTTATAGATTTTTGTTTCATTGATGCAAGTTTTTGTACTCAGTGTTTAAAATCGATTTACATCCGCATGAAAATGTATTTAAAAAAAATACTCTTTCGGTGGACATGGAAAAGGCGGATTTTAAAGGTCATGTGAACTGTACCTATAAGAGAGCGTCGAAAATAATGACAAATAAACAAGTACAAGTGGAGTTCAAAATGAAATTTCTGTGATGTATCAATGAATACATGTAGTAATGAATACATTTTGTTAAAGTATTGATTTTGTTGGTTTTTTTGAACGTTTCGGAATGATTCAGGTGATACGAAAGAGACAAGCCCTCCTATATTTGCCTACCCTATTCAATTCAATTCAATGCAACGATTTTCAATTCAATCCGTCCAATATTCAAAACCTTTTTGAAGCCCTCGTTTCAATTAATGTTTGTAGTGGGCTGGCTTTTTGGATCCTTCATGTGGCGTATCGAACAGTTCCAACATTTCAGATTTTACCGGTTTCCTCAGAGAATTTTTTACGGTACGTTATTTAATTCAGAAACGTTGGTTAGAAAATAAAGCGTGATCAATTTGTGTAAAACTCGATAGCTTGTGTAAAACTCGCTTGTGTAAAACTCGTCTCTTGAATAACGCGTTTTGCAGTGAAAAAATATAGCAGATACACTTGTAATTCCAAGGACTAGGCTGAAAAAAAATCATTTCGAATTATTGTACTTTCAAAAATGCACGGGTGTTCATCTTCGCATACGACGAAAAAGGACAGTTTTAAAACTTATTGGCAGTCATTCACCCCGAGAAATTAGAGAATTTTCGTCTAATACGATATTTTTATTAGCAGAATTAATTCTATTGGAGTAAATTTATAACTTGATCAAAACCATTTTTATACGAAATCATCGAATTATGATTTTTCTGACGAATGAAATATTCAGAGCTTGAATCAAAATGAAGATCAGTTGAGAAAATGAGCCGAAAACTCCGGAAAAAAGGTTAAAATACTTTTATTCAACAGAAATCGAACAATTGCGTTGTTCTGCGTATTTATGTGTTTTCGTGCTTTCTGGTGATTTCTCTCATAAAAAAAAAACGTGGAACGCAACCAGAATTAGTTTGAAGAAGAAAATATTTTGGTTTTTTTTTGGCAGTCGGAGTAATAACTTTTTTTATTTTTTCTTCGAGAATTGATCCAAGACCATTCTCAAACATCTAAACTTCGATAAGTTACTTTGGTAAAGTGACTATTTTTCGGAACTTTTATGTCGATTTTTCAAACTTAAATCAGCTTCTTATTACTGTAAAATGTTTTAACCATCTCTTTGGGGTTCACAAGCGTTGCAACACCCAAAACCAACGGATATCCTTTTTTTTTTTTTAGGCCTCTCTTGGGTGGAATAGGCTCGTCTAACGTCATCGTAATGGGTATCAGAGTGTTCGCAACTCCACAGCGTGGTCCAATAACAGAAACCAGTACACCTATTGTCTCATCCGGTCCCGGTTAGTGACAGCTAGTGGAAGCCCCTCAGGCACAGCCACCACGAGAATAGTGACGCCAGTGATGAAAAAGGAAATGAATTGCTCCATGTGGCGCAGGTCGATCGGGCGAGGCAAGTACCGCATTAAAACGTGCGACTTAAACTACTACTCGTGCTCCTTGCACTCATGACGCTTACGGCACGGTTACATCGGGTGCGCATGACGGTCCTGTCACTCGAAAACGACCTCCACCGACTTGAACTCGTCTTCCTCCTCCTGATTTTCTCTCTCCCTCTTCAAAATTTTTACCAGATGTTATTAAATATAATATGCCCTATTTTGCCAAAAAATATATTTGAAAGAAACGGAGGCCATCTGTAATATTGCGAAAAATCAAATACTGTAGTTGCGCCAAAGATCCGAAGGTGGGGTGAATAATATATTCTGACTACTCACCGATGCACCACCATTTAAATATGGTCAAGTGTGGAAGTGAAGCACATTTTTTTAAAAACCGAGAAACTATCTTCAGTTGAATCACAAGAGAGTTACAATTCTCGTTTCCAATTCAAGTGTCTCCGGGTCATTCATTATTGGTAAATTAATCAAGAGTGGAATATCTTCTTCTGAAGAAATTGAATTTGATGGAAAGTGCGTTTTATAATAATCAGTTGAACCTCTCTAAGTCAAATTTCAAGGGACCTGCAAAAAAATTCGACTTAGGGAGGTTTTGAATTTTATAAGTTGGAATTACAATACAAAGCCCTTTTTTCTGGGAAACGTAGAAAAAATGTAAATGGTGATATCCTGGGGCTTAAATGGCTTCTTAAATGGGTTAAAAGGCTGCTGAACTTGGAGGCAGTGGTTCATTTGCCCAATTAAGTCTTTCACTTCCTTTAAAGCACATAAATTTCTGTTTTTATTATTATTTTTC